GATCTAGCTGCGCCATCCACCTGGCTTCACTGGGTCGTTCCCTCCTGGTACCCAGTGGAGCCTCCGACGGCCAGTCTACGGTCTCCGCCAGGCGCCTCGTGAGTGGCACGACACACTGAGGACTACGCTTGCGGCTCTTGGGTTCGCGCCTTCTACTGCTGACACGTCGTTGTTTCTACGCACCGACACCTCACTGCCGCCGTTCTACGTCCTTGTGTACGTCGACGACTTGGTCTTTGCTACTGCTGACACTATGGCACTCGCCCACGTGAAGTCGGAGCTGCAGAAGAGACACACGTGCACAGACCTGGGTGAACTGACAAGCTATCTTGGCTTGCGGATCACCCGGGACAGAGCACGCCGCACCATCACCTTGACTCAGTCACACATGGTGCAGCAGGTCCTTCAGCGCTTCCGCTTCACGTACTCCTCGCCTGAGCCCACTCCTCTGCCTACCGGTCACTCGCTCTCAGCTCTGCCTTCGGATGAGTCCGTAGAGCCGAGTGGCCCGTATCGAGAGCTTGTGGGTTGCCTCATGTACCTGATGACCTGCACTCGACCAGACCTTGCATACCCTCTCAGCATTCTTGCACGCTATGTCGCTCCCGGCCGTCACCGGAAGGAGCACATGGATGCAGCTAAGAGGGTGTTGCGCTACTTGTGCAGTACGTCGGGCATGGGGCTAGTGCTTGGAGGGCGAGTCCCAGTTGTTCTCACTGGGCACTCAGACGCTTCTTGGGCAGACGACCAGGCTACTCAGCGGTCGTCTCAGGGTTACTCCTTCAGTCTTGGCTCTGGTTCTGTTTCTTGGCGTTCTACTCGCTCTTCTTCTGTTCTCAGCTCCAGTTGTGAGGCTGAGATCTACGCCACAGCCATGGCGGCCCAGGAGCTACGCTGGCTCACCTACTTGCTGACGGACCTTGGAGAGCAGCCTCGTTCTCCTCCAGTGCTGTACGTCGACAACAAGGCAGCCATTGCTGCAGCAGCGTGGTCAGCTTCGCCAGCGTTACGTGGCCTCTGAGGCCAACACTGCTGATGTGTTCACCAAGGCGCTTCAGCCTTGTGACCATCAGCGCTTTTGCACTCTTCTAAGTCTTGTGCCTACTGGACCTCACTTGCTTACTTCTTGAGTCTGTTTGTACTGTGATCTCTATATATATACCTGCATGTTTACTCTTGTTAGGTTGTGATCATTGTACCTTTTGCTCTATTATAAACCTGCATGTGAACTGGTCTTGTGACCACTTGCTTGTGCTCGGAATTTGTGTGGTATCCTTGAGATCCACCCTGAGCTTGTTTTGCCTTGCTTTGCCTTGACTGGTCTTGTGACCTCTAGTTCTCCCCCACTTTGCCTATGGGGGTGCGTCAAACATTATAGATGTTGTGTTAGTTTAGGCTACAGTGGGTTAGCCTATAGGGGGTACACAATTCTAGGGTTAGGTACTTGTACTCATTTCACTGCTAGTTCATCCATTCCTGTTAAGTGATTCCAACATATGTAACTGCTTGTAGGATTGGTTACTGTAGTTATAGCGTTTTCCTATTTGGTGGTGCACCTTTCTTGTTTGTTCTTTCATATTTGTACCCTTAAACCTATAGTGAAACCCCTCATTCTCCTTCCTAAACTTTCTCGACACTTTTGCTCACCCATACAACTCGAAATTCTCCTAAGCTACTATGGCTCCTATGCCTAACTAGCACTAGGATTTTAACAGTCTCCTCGGCATCTTTACACTCAACACCTCTCGGGTCTCGTACCCTTCAATGCGTTCATCCTCCTTAAGCACTTGCCCCTTTGCAGTTGCATTCGCCTTTGATCCTTTCACCATGATGTCCCCTTTCACAGCTTCAACTCCCACACACTTCGCATTTACTGCTTCATCTTCAACCACGATCGCTGCTGCAAAAGTGTTGACATCGTCTCCATTTCCACCGTTTACTTTCGTCACATCCGTGATCACTATCTCCTCTTCCTGCTTCACTGTTGCCTCGACACTTGCTGCCGTATCCTCCGAGACCGCACTCTCATCATCCTCAGTCGATAACTTCTCCAATTCTCCCATCTCAGTATACTCAGGGTCCTCATAAAACTCATCCATGCCGTTCATCGCGATCAAGTTCATCTCATAGAACCCGTCACTGAAGTAACCATCCGCGTACTTCTCCCACTCAGAACCAAACACAGTAACCTTGCCACTATCATAGAATATCTTGCACCCCAAGTCATCAAGCAGTGACTGTCTGACCAGGTTCACCTTTAAATCCTCAACCAAGAGCACACTCTCCAATTTCATCTCTCCATACGGACTCTGCAGCACCACATCACCCTCTCCTGTCATTGGTAACTTCCCACTGTTACCTTGTAGTATATAATCCTCACTCGACTCCCTCACATTCTCCATCCAATCTGACCTGAATGTCATGTGACGCGTGCATCCGCTGTCCATGAACCACGCCCTCTTCTCACGTCCATCTGTCTGAGCCTCCTTCGGTAAACGCACCACGTTCGCGAGATGCGCTCCTCCCAAAATCACATCCTCCTTTTCCGCTTCCACTACATTCGCCTTTGTCGCCACATTCCTCTGCTGCGACGGACCCTTGTAGCTCATGCTATTCGGGTTGGAGTAGCACTCTGCGGCACGATGCCCGTAGCGCCCACAATAATCGCACTTGTCGCCAAAACCTCGTTTCTGCTGCCACTCCGCTCCTGCATTTTCTCCTTTATCATTCTCCATCGCTTTGCCCTTATAGTTTCTGCTTCGCGGGTTCTCGTTGCAATTTATCGCCTTATGCCCGCGCTTTCCACACTGGTAGCATGCTCCAAACGCCTTCGTGGCATTCACCAAAGCGGGCCTCTCCTCATCAAACTCCTTAGCTACTGCTGCTTTCTTCTTTCTCATTTCCTTAACCGTCTCAAGCGACTGTAGAATCTCCTGCAGCTTCATCAAACTCTCCGGCGGTTGGTACGTAAACATACCGATGTGGGATTCCCACTCTTTAGGAAGGCCTTGGATGATATAGTCAATCATCTCGTGCTCCATCTCCGCGGCTCCCATCACCCGCAAATCGTCGTTGTAGCTTTTCGCCCTGTTGATGTAGGTGATGATTTTCTCGCCTTTCTCCATGCTCAGCGTCAGCAGTTGCTTCCTGATCGCCTTCTTGTTGACATCGTTCGTACCCATGTATGTGGACTCCAGGTACTCCCACGCTCGCTGTGCAGGGTTCAGCTCCCCTGCAAACTGGTCCAAATACACCGCGATTCCATCGGCAACTGAGTGACAAAGCTGAAAGAAAGCTTGCTTACTTTGCTTTTTAAACGCCGCTATTTTCCCCTTCGTATCCGTCGTGGAAGACGCAACTCCCTCCATCGTCTCCTCGTCGGGACGGTAGTACGGCAAGAGGTCCACCTCCTCTGCCCTTCGAATGAACTTCTTTCGCCACACGTTGTAGTTGCTTCCATTGAAGCGCTGGGCTTCACTGAGTCCGATCGTCGGTTTCGCCACCAATCGGCCACTCGCAAGGGCCTCGAGAAGAGCCTTCAACTGCGGGTCTCCAAGACTCACACTGGAACCCGAACTCGCCTCGTCTCCCATAGCGTAGGCGTGAACGACTCCTCTTCTCCACTAATTTCACTTAGCGCACCAAGTGAATTCGCGACGATCGACTTCAATCTCGATGCTTCTTCCACCTTCTCACACATGCCTTCTCGATTTCTCTCTCCCTTCTCACGCCGTAGGCCGATTTCCACCGTTTCACCTAGAATCATCCACGCGCTTCCATTTCGCCGTCATTCCGCCGTCGTAGAGACTTTCGCCATAGGTTCCGTGGTTGGGCGAACCAACCCTAACACACGAGAGGATGCGCGACGGAAGGATGGGTGGCACGTAGGGGGGTGGCGCGATGGGCGGGGGAACGCGACAATGGGAAGCGCGATGAGGGGAGAAGCTCGATGAGGGAAGGGGATGCGCGACTTCTTGAGCCACTCAGTGAGGTGCGTGAACAGGCGTAGTGAGGTGGCTTCACTCACCCTCGCGAGCACAACGACTTTGTGTATGCGCTTGTATCGATCCTAAATTCTGCGTATTTTACGCTGCGCGGCGCTGTCTTAATAGGTGGCGTTGTAAGTAGCAGATGCGTCGCTCTGTTTATCTATTTTCCAATAGCAGTGGTGAGGAGACTACTCAAGGCGTATTCCTATCCTCCTATCAGGAAAACCTCCTATCAAGCTCTCACTGGAAAATTCCCTAAACCCAAAATCTCTCGCTACTTTTACCAGGCAAAAGGTACAATCTTGATAGGAGGTTTCTTGATAGGAAGCCGTAGGAATACGCCCTCATGCAGCCACACTTTCGATGCTCGTCGTAAGAGACGCCAAGAATGCGAAACTTTCGGTTTGGCTAGAGTGTCTCTTCGTGTGACACAATTTTCGCTTTGATTTGGTGGGATTCACATTTTTGGTGTCCGCGAGATGTTCACTTGTTCGCGGAGGAAAGTAGTTCTCGCCAAAGGCACATAACCGAAATAGGTTTCGCAGACCCTCATGTATAGCCTATTTCATATCCACATAACTTGAAAATTTACCATGCTGACCTCGGGCTTTAACTACGGGAACACATGCAGTTTTCAACATCTGATGCAGGAAGCCAAGATTTAGTGAACGGAACATGGCTAATGAATAAGACACTAAGGCAGTGTACCACTCTGAACCGCATTACACTTAATTAGCAAACGTTTTTCACAACACTCTATCTAGTCTTTTGAGACACGAGGCTTTTGTGACAAGCTTCCCGAGTTACCCTTACTTCAGGATGTAAATGTAACATGCACAATGGTAGTGCAACTGTTACCATCCGTTGGGTGCCTGTGAGCACACTCCCAACCAACCACTACACAATATGAGGCGAACGCTAACCACTTACACTCTACAATCAACAATATTTGAAGACCACACATGTTACATTACCAAAACAGCCAGTAGCCATGAGGCATGGTCATGGGCATCAACCATCAGCACCAGCATCTGCCCCTGCATCGCCCTCCTCCGCTCCCTCTGCTGGCTGCCCTGCCATGCTCTTGAGCGCCGCAAACGCTTGCTCCCTCTGCACGCGGTGAGGATGGCAGGAGAGGGTGAGAGGGCAGGAGAGGGTGAGAGGGCAGGAGAGGGTGAGAGGACAGGAGAGGGTGAGACGACAGGAGAGGGTGAGAGGGCAGGAGAGAGTGAGAGGGCAGGAGAGGGTGAGAGGACAGGAGAGGGTGAGAGAGCATTGCAGAAACAACAAAAGACATGAACATGCGCAGATTGATCTTACTGGAATACGGTAGGTATGGGTTGGGAGAGGTTAGGGAAATGATGGGGCAGCAGACCATACCACCAGCAACAGCTGCTGTGTCACGGACAGCTGGGGCAGAGTGGCAGCTGGGGCTGAGCTATGGTACCTAACAAAGCTGCACCACCATTGCAATCCCAGGACAGCCCCCAGCACAGCTTACACACCCACACCCACCGTGCCAGCATTGATCAAGCTTGCTGCTTGGAGCGATGCCAGACTCAACAAAAGCTAGCTGAAGTGCGGTACACTATACCGTCTGTATCCATAGTTGGAGCCCCTAGCTCCATGTATAGAGTGGGAGACTAGTCAGGAGGTACCTTGACCTAGCCCCACACGACCCATCCACACCTGCACCCGCACCCACACCCACACCCGCACCCACACCTGCCTGCACCCCATTCGCACCCAACCCCCTCCGCAGAGAATCCTAGGCGCCTCACAAGCCAGCACCAGCATTCCCACCAGCACCCCCACCCCCACCCACCATGTCATCATCAAACACGTCCTTGCTACGATACACATAGTGCGAGCCCCCCAGCTCCAGGGAGAAGCGTCCGAGGTCAAATGCCTGCCGCACCGCCTCCTGCCCGCCGCGCCGCAGCCCCTCGTGCGTGGCAATGAGAGCCATCTGCACGTGGTTCAGCCAGGAGAGCGTGTAGCCTGGGTCCCTCCCGGAGCTGTGGAATGGAGGAGGGGCAAGGGGGGTGGGTTGTGATTGAGAGCGGGCGCTGCTTCTCATGTGCAGCAATGAGAGCCATCTGCACGTGGTTCAGCACCTGGGTCCCGGCCTGAGCTGGGGAGGGGAAGGACGGCAGGGGAGAGACGGTAGTGGGAGAGGGGGGCACAGGGTGGGAAGGGAAGGGTGTGTGGGTTGTGATCGAGAGCAGAGTGTGACAGTGTGGTGGCTGTGAGGGAAGAACTCAGAAAGAGGGCCCCTTCTCACATCCCCCGAACAGGCCAATTGAACTTCCCACTCCCTTCCTTCCATCCTCTCCAGGCAAAACCACCTGCCTCCCTTAAAAATCCAAAACACTTCTTCCCTCCCCCCTCCCTTCCAAAGCGCAGACACCCCTTCCCCCGCCCTCCCCCGTCCTCCCCTCCCCACCCCCCACGCACCCTTCTACGGGCGTGAACACCTCGCGCTCACTCCCTTCCACGTCCAGCTTGACGAGATCAAAGCCCGGCACGCCCGTGACCTCTACGAGCCACGGCACGGTGACTGTGTGCGCAGTGCCGTACTGCTTCAGACCCCTCTCCTGGCCTGGGATGGATGTCATTAGGGTCCAGTACCCGTGGCTGCGCGGGTCCATGTGCACTGACAGGGGCTCACTGTGATGACAGGGGAGGTCGGGGTGCGAATGACAAATGGAGAACAACGGAAAAATAAAAGAGGGAGAAAGGAATGAATGAACATGGAGAGAGAACGAACATGAGTAGGAAAAAAGGTGTGGGAGGGAATCCATTTAGAATGTGATTATAAGAGGTTCTGCCCTTAACACTTGTAAGCGCCACGCTAGCATGGCCCCTCGAGCTTGTTTCAAAGTGTATTCTCTTGAGGCGCCTCTAAAGTAGACACCGACTCACTTAAGTTTGTTCCAGAGTGCAGCACGAAAGGCGACAACATTGGGCAGGGCAAAGGTGTTGAGTCTGAGCATGCGGTAATTCTCCTCGGATGACTCCACTGCCACTATGCGCGCATGGGGGAACCTGGTGCAGAGACATGCCATGCCACGCCATGCCATGACATGCCATGTCAGCAATGCCATGCCATACCAGTTATCCCATGCCATGCCATGCCAGCAGTGCCATATGTGCCACACCAATCTCATGGTCCACAAGGCAACCACACGCAGCACATGCACGCAGAGGCATGGGGGATCACGAAGGAGATGGTCGAGGCTGACAGGCTGTCTCGCACACTGACTGGTATCCATAACAACCCACATGTCTGCCAACATTCATGTTGTTCCATAAAAGGAGCATGTCTAATGGGATCAACCGACCCTACATCTGGCATCATAACATACCCACATGCTGTATGAATACATGCCACCCATGTATGACATACATAACACTACCCAAGCAACATATCTTGCACGAAGCCAATAGCTCCCCTGGAGACTCACATGAGGGCGAGCACAGTGGTGGTGATCCCAATGTTAGCTCCACCATCCAGCACCGCAGTGAACCGCTTCTGCCTGGTCTCTCGGCGCAGCACGGAAAAGGGCGTGGGGGAGTTCTCAAAGTGCACGCGCAGCACCATGCTGTCTGACGTGTGTGGGCGCAGGTAGAAGGGGATGATGCAGCTCGTGCCCGTCAGGCATGGCACCTCGCCCTCCACGCTCACTAGCACGCATGGCGGCACTGCTAGGTTGTCCTGCGTGCATGCATAGCGGTGTGGTGAGACGAGGTTTGTGCATGGAGAGGGAAGGAGATGGGGTTGGGTGTGAGTGTGTGTGGGGCCGAGGGGGAGTCTTGGAGGATTGGAAGGAGAGGGAGGAGTGCCGGGGGAAGAAGGTGCAGAAAAGTGCAACTGAATGTTGATGAAGTTGCTAATGGGGATGCAAAAGCTTGTAGATTCACAGGTGCTCGCAAGTGCGTATGGGAGGACTGCTAAGTGGATGACAGCCTATGAGGAAAGAGAGCCAAGTGCGAGTGAACACAACTGTGACCAGATAAAATTGCTGTAAGAACTAACCTTTTTTGGATTCGGTTTGGCCATGGTGAGCTCGTAATTGAGTGTGATGTAATGCATCCACCTGCTCACATGCACACGGGCATGGACATTGCGAATTCAAATCCCGCATCCACACCCACATTCACATGCATGAGAGGACCACGCAAATGCCAGGTCCATAAGCATCAAGAGGAAATAAGATAATCGACAAGGAATGAGAAGCGGGGATTCAACCTATGCTGTTTTTCAAAACCAATTTGATTCACCCTCACTGGAACAACAAATAGAGCCCCATTTCGCGGAACAGTCGCAACTACCTTCCAAGAAAATAGTATCGCGGCGAGCCACGAGTGTAGCCATGCTCCATGGCTAGGATACGCTTTAACTCAACATCTGAGTACCCGCAGGCCCCCTGCAGGCGCACGGCTGGAAGCAGCGAGCAGTCGGTGGGTTCCTCCACGATCCGCCATAGCAAGCAAACCGCGGATACGATCAGAAGCACGCGTGGTAGAGCATAGAAGAAGGCGGCCGTGGGGCTGAGATAAGAGGAGGTGGTTGAGGAGGAGGCCGTAGGCGATGGAATGGGGATGAAGATGGAGGAAAGGAAGGAGCGGAGGGAGCGCGGGAGGAAGGAGGTGGATATCGAGGTTGGTAAGGACAACCGTAGTGGTAGCGCGAAGGCACTTCGAGTGGACGATGACTGACCAGACATGGCTGCCAGAGAGTTAAGCCAAATTCAGAGAGGAATCGGTTTGGAGGGCCTGTTCTGAATCAACGGCGTGCCATAAATAGGGTGCACGATAACAATCTTGTCCAAAGTCGTCACTATGCCTACCCTCGTAGTCGCAGCCCATAACACGCAACCATGATGCGGCTGAGAAGCTTTGGAACGGTTACCGCGGGAATGGGATGAGACGATTTACTGAGCGCGGTAATTAAATGCCAGAACAGATCCGTTCTAAGGAAGTCGAGGGTGCAGTCATCCAACTGCAACTGGTTGGAACCGTCCTCTATTAACCTACTAATCCAGAAACCAAACCCGCATTAATCAAATTCGTCTTCGATCGAATGCACGACCAAAAGAAGGTTCAGTCCTTTCACTTTCCTCATGGCATCCCATTTACCATAACATCAGAGAATGCTAAATGAAAAATATCATTAAAAGCAAAACAAACATGGAAAGTAGTGGCAGAGAAATGCCTAATAGTATACATCTGATATCCTACACAAATGAGCCAAATGAAAAAAGATGTCAGCGCATGAACCAAATGAAAAAAAAAAGGAGAAAAAAAAGCCCAAATCATGTGACAACATGCCTTCTTATGCTGCAAAATCCCTTGCGCCTTGAGCAACTCCAGTTGGAAACTCGAATGTAACGCTGATTCTGTCTGGTGAGTTATGCTGTGGGAGTTTTTCTTCGCTCCTTGATTGGGACCATTCTTCTCCTCTTTTTGGCAGGCTGCTCTTTGCATTCGGCACACTTAGCAGGTTCGTCTGACCCTTGCGGCAGGCAACCGTTGATTTCCTTTGCACAGTCCATACACTTCACCTGCAAGTTTGGATGGATTAAGAAGTTGAAAAAAAAAAGCATAAAATTTTCAGAATAGGAAGGTAGGGACTTACGGGGGATACATCAGTCAAATCCGAACGAATACCATGTTCCAAGACACCCTGTGATTTATCAGCCTCCACAGAGACATGAGGATGCACAGTGATGCCACTACCTTTCTCATTTGCGACAAAGTCCTCCATAATACCCTGCAAATGTTCCAGATGGGGACATTGAGTAACTCAGTACAGGCGACCAGAAAAAAAAATATAGGTACGTGTTTTACCTGTGCAGAAAACGATGAAATACTCTCCGGAAGTTCAGCTAGTCCTTGGTTGGCTGGAACTGCAGTAGCAGCAGCTTTCTTCTGTGCTAACGACTTGGCAGAGCCGCTACCCGCTGCTGAGGAGCTGTAAGACATGCTCTGCATTCCCAAAAGCTGTGTGGGGACAATTTCAAGCTCAGCACAGTCACTGTTGCCCGAAAGATCACTGGCCTTCAAGTCAAAGATTGTTGCAGTGGTAATTCCACGATTTTCTTCCTGAGAAGGTGCAGCCACTTCAGCAGCAACTGCATCTTTCGCTGATGGAAGGTCTTCAGGGACAGGTTTACCGATGTTGCCCTGGGCCTCCACACACACCTTAACTGTTGCCTCCACAGTGGTTGACTTGCTAGGCTCAGGTGTAGTATTGGAATCAGACTCAACTGCCAAACCTCCTTTCTGTTGCTGCTCCTCAACTTGACAGTTCTCAGCCAGGACAGCTGGATCCCCAACTTTGCCTCCACTATTTGTAGTACCGGTAGCCTCTCCCTTGTTGTCATCTCCAGCGCAGGTGGATTCACTCTCAATCACATCTGCTGTTGCTCCGTCAACCTTGGCCACCTTTTGCGACTGAGCTTGTGTGATAGCTAGTAGTTGCTCAGGAGAAAGGACAAGTGACTGACTAGTCTGGAAGAGATCCTTGTACCAGTACATGACATCCAGCTCCGGCGGAGGCTTGACCTGCAGAACAATGTGAGCAGCTTCCTTTTCAGGGAGAACGTTGTCTGCCACAGAGGGCTCCTTATCCTCAGCGAATTGTGAAGCACCAGATCCAGGTTCAGCACACACTGCACTCGACACCGGCGGTTGAATCTTCTGAGAACTTGGTCCTTGTGAGTCTGTCCCTTGACTTGACCTAGCACGATTGGCTGGAGGTAGAGGCACCTTGAACGCGCTGTTTCTCCTTCGCTTGTTCAGCATACCTCCACTGCCAGTGCTCTGCTGCGAGTCCCGTTCTTGTGATACAGCAGCCTGACTGCCTTTAAATTCTTGAGTTTGGGTGTGCTGACTTGGCGTGCTTTGAGCCTCAAGGGGAGTGAGAAGTCCAGAGCAGACAAGGCCATCTAGTCCATACACTTCCTGAGTAGACTTCCTTTCATCCACGCCACCTTCATTTTCAACAAGACACGTCAGACATCCCCAAATTAGGCGATCTCCTCTGAATGACAGGCCATTCTGCTTACCTTGAACAGCGGATTTGATTGGTCCATGACCTCCACTGCATCGTACTTCATGCTCTCCATTGACCTGCAGTTACAGCATGGTTAAGTACAGTGGTTGGCCCAAAAAAATGCCTTACTACTCGAAAATAACCTCAGGGAGGCCCTCGCTGGACGTTGTGGCATGTTGTAAAGATCCTGAAGGGGAGTCAAACGATGAGTCACTGGAGGAGGAACGATTTGCAAGAAAGAGAAGCAGAAAGGGCTCGTACCTCCTGATAATTCGACCTGGAAAGTCAGGTCCCCAAGTGTCAATATCACAAGGCGCACGAGGATTAGGACCAACAACAAAAAAGAGAGGATAAATTCCAATCGACGAGGCTAACCTTGACTTGCTGGTCAACGAAGGACACAAGGCCTTTGCAAGAAGTGCCCGCATCAGATAAACCTAAGATTGTATTCCACGTTAGAAATTTAATAAGTGCTCGACATGCCACGACTTCCAACGTAGGAGGAAACATACTGAGTAGAGATTCGGTATCACAACCTTCCTGCGCCCTTGGCCAATTTACGTACTTCGATTCCACCTGCATAGCAAACGTTGGCACTCGAATGAAAGTGGTTACAGACGAAGGAGTAGTGGAATGGATTTTCCAGGAATACGCGGACCTGAGCCCGTTCTGCATCTAAACAAAACTTCCAAGGGTACCTCGCATAATTTCGACTGCAACTGAGAAAGCTCCAGCTCAAGAGGCTGCCAGAGGTCTTCACAACCAGTACCAGAGGAGACTTGGCCTGCCACAAACATAACCATCGTTAAGCCAATGTTGACCAATGATTGTGAAATCGTTGGACCGTTGTTTTGCCCACTTGTTAATCCACTATGCGAGGTCCCAGAGCTTATCACTTGTGGTCGTGAAGCCTTTTCATACTCGAACTCTTCCAGTCTTTGCTTGAGGCATTGCGTCTCCTTTTCATATTCGTCAGTTTTTGCATTCCAACCTCTCTGCTCCTCTTTCCGCCTGTAAATTGTGACAAAAAAGAGGTCGGAATGAAAGGACGAAGAAAATGGCTACAATCAAGAACCAAAAAATAAGGGCTTACTCCTGCTCCATCTTCTCAATCACACCATTCAGCTCGTTAATAGTTGCCTTCATCGTGGAGCTTTCGGAATCCATCTGCAATGGCCACAGTATCATGTAAAGAATAAAGTAAAAGAAGACACCACCCTTCAAACCTGGACTGAAACATGGACATAAAATTTACTGTAGCTCAAAGTCCCTACCTCAGAAAGGCGGCCTTCCTGTTCTGAAATTTGTTGTCTCAAGTTTTCCACTAGCTCTGTCAGCTCTTTAGATCGATTCTCATACTCAACACACGCTGTTTGAGCTTCAATATGCGCTGAGTTGACCAGGTTTAGCTCCTCCTTAATGTCCTGCAAGCAGTCACCAGAGTTACGTGACGAATCTATGGTAAACAAAAAGGACCGCAAAGAGTGTAACATACCACTTGCTCTTTTTTCACTCGAACAAGTTCTGCATCCTTGACTTCGATGGCTGCCTGAAGGTGATGATTACAGCAGTTAAGGAAAATACAAATGAAGGCTGACAGATTCATGAAAATACAAATGTCGCACAACACAATCAGACAGACACGCATGAAACAGTTGAGCGGGGTTTCGTATGTTAGGATATTGGCTTCATTTCAGTCTCGTGCCGGAACTGGTCCATCTCCAAAAAGTCAATCTGCTCCTTCAAGGCAGCAACTTCCGCCTCCTTGTCCTTCAAGTTGTCTGCAAGCTCCTTGCTTCGACTTTCCAGATGCTTCAGTTTATCTGCAGAACGAAATCACAGTCAAATATTGCATAGCTGATCTGGCAGAAATAGAAAAAGGGCTTACCCATGAAGCGTTTTTCCAAATCCGTAACCTTGGCAAGGCGCTCCTCCAAACATTTAGCTGTGTCGAACGGAAAGATGGCGCAAGATAAACATCAGCATCTCAAGATGGATCTCAGGATTCCAGAAGGTCACTTACATGTACTTTCAGACACGCCTAGGCGAGCTTGTGTCTCAGAAAAGTTGTTGCAAATAGTTTCAAACTCTTTTTGTATGTTGGATACCAGGCTAGTTTGAAGAGCAAGACGTTCAGTGCTCCATGAAACTTCAGAACACTTCTCAAGGAGACGCTTTTCAAAATCGCGGTTGGTGGCCTGCGCTAAAGAAACGTCAATGAAGATAACGGAAGTTGCGGGGCTGTTGAGAGACCACATGACGGCACATACCTGAAGCTCCTCTATCGCCTTTTTCTTTGACTCTGATAGGGTTACGAGCTTCTCTTCCAGCATTCGAATCTTGGATTCAAGCGAGTCAGTTGCTCTGCGAAGCTCGTCGGCCTGCAACGCAGTTGTGTTAAAAAGCATTCATGGTTCGTACACCCTGCATTTTCGTCAATACCTCTGACTTTGCCTTCTCGGCTTTCGACCTTTCCTTCCCCATGTCTTGCAGGACTTGCTTCTTGTCTTTCTCCAAGTGTTCGATTAGCAAACGTTCTCTCTGGGGTTAATGAAACGTGATTGCGATTTACACACACAATGATAAAAAATAATTGAATTTCGAAAATGAAAGACCCACCTCCCGAAGTGTTTCGACCTCGTTCTGACCCTCATCCTCCTTATCCTGCAGACATTATAAATGGTATGATTCGTCTGTAACACACATATAAATCACCCAGTCAAGCATTTACCTGCACCCATTTGGCCTCGGACATCAATAACTGCAGCTTGTACTTGAATTTCGAAAACACTAATCCCATTTCACACTTTCCCGAGCTGTTGCTGGGTGGAGCTCCCTGAAATGCAGGACATGTCAAAGCTGAGGAAATCAAACAAACATTCACATGAAACGGCAGGTGGAATAACACACCAGAAGAAGCGCGTCATCATTTCCCTTCTCACACTCCATTGCTTCGCTGGACGAACCCATGATCGGTATGAAGGCCAATTCACAATCCCGTCAGATGATCATGGAAGGAGAACGAATTACAGAAAAGTGGATTTCCGTCGAATTGTTCTGAAGTGATCGTGGACGCATCCGAGGCCTCCGAGTGAGCCATGGTTCGTGCTTATAAACTGCACTGGTGAGGGACACTTCAATTCTGACAGCGCTGTACTCATTTCTCAATTACGCGATATAGTGATACCGATCGTTAACACATCAATCAAACAAAAAATTATGTGATCATCTCTTCTTCAGCTACAGCATAAGAAATCAAAATGTAAGAGCTGCAGCACAGATCAAAGTGGCGCCAACAGATAATAAACAGTGCTGATGTCAATTTGGCCACCTTAAGGACAGTAAATACGAGCATGCCATTACCGTATACATGTGTTGGATGCAGCACCGAATTTCAGTGTGTAGACCTAAGGTAGCAAGGGTAGCACGAATATATAACTGCACTATTGCTCGTACCAGCAAACAAGCATGCACAATGCTCATGCTTCCTTCATGATGCACACTAGAGGAGCTAGAAAAACATACCAGATTTCTGTTTCTTACACCTCTCCCATGCCATAACACAGGTTACCACCATGTCTACTGCTGTCAGACAAAGTTCGCCCCACTATCCACAACCTTGTCGTTCTGCCGCAACTCCTCAAGACCTCCTGTTCCCAGCCTTTTGCCGTGATCTTCTGCCTTTGCAATGGAGTTCTCCGGCTGCCGCCTTCTCAGCACAGCATATGCAGCATGCCCTATGGCATGACGCTGCTGCTCCCATCGTCTTCCCACACGTTCTTTGGTTGCTGAGCCTGCAACCAGTGCTGCTCCTGCTGCAGCTAGCAGTGCCCGTGCAGCAGCCCTTGCCATAGCTACCTTCCCGCGGGGAGATGTTGCTACTGGGGACCCTGGTGCTGACCCTGTGCTGGTTCTCCCTATCTTGTTGTCTGTCTTCAGCTCTGCTGCCTGTGCGGCAGCCACAGCATCTGCCATTGTGTCCTCTTTCACATGCTCCACTACTTCATCTGCTTCTGCTTCAGCTTCTGCTGCTGGTGCTGCTGTTGCTGCTGAGGCTACTGCTGTGCCTGCTATGTCTCCCACTCCGTTAACCTCCAGACTCCCAGCTTCTGCACCTGCAACACTTGCTTCAACGTTCTCTGCACTTGCTGCTACAACCAACTCATCATCCAAGCTCAGAAGCTGCTTCGGATTCTCCTCACTTCCGTCTTCCTCTCCACTTGCACGGCCCTGTGACTCCTTAACTGCCTCTCCTTCCTGCTTATCTCCCACCTCGCCGGCCTCCTCCCCAGCTTTCTCTGCCTCTGCCTCAACCACTTCAACTGCTTCCACCGCCAGCTGAGCAGCAGCAACCAGCTCCTCCACCTCAGCAGCAATCCGCGTTTCCACCGCGCTCGGAGCAACCCTGCCACTCCTTGCACCCACGCCAGGTTTCCCGCCAATGCTGTTCCTTGCACTCACACCAACGCTGATCACACTGGCCCGGCTCTTGAGCTTGATCCCCATATTTCCACGCCAGTTTCTAAGCCAGTTCAACCGCCCAAGGCTGGAAGCTTGCCCTGGAGCCCCAGTGGGAATGCTGCTCGCACCTACGCTGGCCTTCCCAGCTCTGCACCCCACGATCATGGTCAGAGGCCCGCTGGTGATAGTTCTGGTAGTAGCGGCACTGGAAATGCTGCTGCTGCTGTTGGGAATGAGGTTGCGGGAAGAATCAGAGGAGCCTTCTAAGGGGTTGCTGCTCTTGCTGCCAATCGTTGCCTCGCTCGGACACTCCTCTTCGCTCGGGATTGCATGCAGAACGCACCCCTTGCTGGTAGCTTCGTTTTGGGTAATTTCAGGAGTGGAAATGATGGAGGCTAGAGCGGTTTCTATGTTGGGAATAGGATCGTGGGCTGAATTTGCAGAAGAGCCCGTCAGGGAGGCATGAGAGACTGTTGCAGCAGGAGCAGCAATGGCAGTTGCATCAGTTGACGACGATGCAACGAGTGTTCGGTGGTGCTGATGCTGATGTTGATGCGAGTGCCGGTCAGTGAGAGAAGAGAACGCACGGGAAAGAGCAGCAGCAGCGTTGACCAGATGCGTCTGATGCGCCCTCTGAGCCGCTTCCGCCGCCACAGCAGCATGAGCAACAGAGGTACCCTCTGCTGCAGACTCACCAACAGGAGCAAGAGAGACAGCAGGTGGCACAGGATTGGCACCAAGGCGTGACGGCCCAGGGACAGAAGCAGTCCTGCTGGTGCCACTGTCATCATCTCCACCAGCACCAGCAGCAGCCGCAGCAGCAGCATTAGCAGCGGAAGCTGCTGCGGCGGCAGCAGCAGCAAGTTGGAACTTGTACTGGGCATGGCGGCTGAGTGGTGCGTTCACTGTGATGCCGAGGCTGCTAGCAGGTGGGGTGATAGTTACTGTGCCGTTGCGTATCGCCCTCACTCGATTGAAGTCCGCCGAGAACCCATCTGCTTCCTCAAAGTTGCCAAATATTGGGACTCCGATCGCTGGCGAGGGATAGAGGAGGAAGAAAATGACAGAAAGTGAGTGACTGGTATAGAACATCAGACAAACGGAATGCTTCAGCTGTTTATGCGAAATCGAAAGTCATTCGCAGGGTGCATACCTGGTCTTGTCTTAGGGGCACGAGTAACAGCCGCAGCGGCAGCAGCGGCAGCGGCGGCAGCAGCAGCTGCCTCCTCTGTGTCAGCGCTATCACCTGCTGCAGCAGCAGAAGCAGCAAAGCTAGCAGCAGAGGCAGAAGACGAGGATCCTTTCACCGAGAGCGTGGAGAGCAGCCGAGCCGGTGGCAACGGCAGGGCGTTGTTCAAAGAGGAGGATTTAGGGAAATGCGGCGGGTGGGATAGGCCGGTGCTTGACCGTGGGCTGCTTGGCCTGAAGGGAACAAGCTTGCTGGCGGCCGCAGCAGCAACAGCAGCAGCAGCTGTGGCTCGCCTACCCGCTGGTGAATCGGGAAGAGCGGGGATGGTGGGCAACTTGTGAGCAAGTCTGGGGGGAATGGGCGGCCGTGCAGCCGCCGCCGCTGCTGCTGCTGAGGGTGATGGTGTTGATGGTGATGGTGATGGTGATGCTGATGCTGATGCTGATGGTGATGCTGATGGTGATGGTGATGCTGAGGGTGATAGTACGGCTGTTGATGCAACTGTGGTGATCGACGATGGTGTTGAAAGTGGTGATGTTAGCACCGTTGATGGTGACATTGCGTCCGGAGTGACTGGCGGCGGCATCATCACGTGAAGCTGAGCCTTGCGCCCATGCCATTCCTGCACAATTGAGTGACTCTTCTCCCTACGCTCCTTCATCTCCTTCTCCTTGTCCTCCTCCTCATCCTCCCCTTCTTCCCCCTCCTCTTCCTCATCTCCTCCCTCCGTTTCCTCCTCGTCCTCCTCTACCGCCTCCCTCTCCTCATCATCCCCCACAGACCCAGCCACAGTCTCCGCGACGGACACACCGTCAGGAGTGGGACTGGCCAGCACAGCAGCGGCAAGTCGAAGCTTCGCCTCGGGATCTCCCATTCTCCCCGCCGCCAGCAGCAGCCGCGCCGCGGCGGCCGCCGCCGCCTGCTCGTCCTCGGGGCTATCATCCAGCCGAAGGCGCTCCGCCAGCAGTAGCAGCTGCGCCTCGTACTCCTTTAAGGACTTGGGCTTCGACCTGCCAGCGCCACCACCCCGATACGACCCTCGAAGGGACCCGCTTTTAACGCTTCCTCTAGCACCCGCTTTAGTGGTAAGCTTACTTTTACTACCAGTAGAGGCCGTCGATTGGTCCACGAAACCTGCGGATGCGGAGTCGTGCTTAGTGGCCGTCGATTCCTCGACTGCCTGCCTCGCGAATAGATCCACGGCGCGGATTCTCCCGCCACGGCCGGCGCCGCCGCGTTTCCCGTTGATAATCACCTCGGATGAGCAGAACTCGTTGCCTTTGCCGTCGCTGGCTCCGCCGGAAGATTCCCGAGCCGCCCTCACCGCCGCGAGCGCCGCAGCCGCTGTGGAAGCCGGCATAGTGGCGGCTACGTTGCGGTGACGGCGGCGGATGGAAGCGAGAGACGGGGAGGTACCAGAAGTAACGAGCTTAATAGTACTAGAAGAATAGTCAGCAGGGCGCCTCGTAGTGGGGGAGGGTTCCCTGGGGACCGTGAATCGCGCTGGGGCAGCCGGCGCGGTTTCAGACTCGGGGAAGGTTGCGCGGCAGTGATCGGCGCGCCTTTGAGCGAACCTGGCGGAGTAGCCTTCTTGACGCGTCAACGTGTTGCTTCCAACCCACTCGCCGAACTTAGGTGTTGCAACTCGCGCCTGTCGCGGATGAGAGCGGCGAAGAACGAGAGGAACAAGTGGGGGGGAGGGTAGAGGGGAGAATGGGAAAAGAAACAGCAGGAATCATGACTGATGTTCGGCGCTAGGTGGAACGATCATGATAAAGTGAGGGTACCATTTCTCCGAGCAACTAGCTGCTCCCATTGAGAGGCTCGTTTTAGCGAGAGAAGAGCTCTCAAAGAACGCGAGGAGGCATGCGGGCGAGCATTACCATGATGTGTGACGAGTATTAATGGCGTGGCTTGTTGCTAAGCGAATGTGTTGCTGAACTCCGGCTCTCCAGCGTGGTGACGAATCTCGCTGGAATATAGTTCGACAGGGTTGACCGACGAGACGGTATGGGGACGGAGAATGGATGAAAGCGAACGGAAGAAGGCGAAGATATGGACGACTTTGATAGAGTAAAAAAACTAGGTCGTCGTGAGATACCATAAAATGGAGAAACCCAAAGGTGGCAGTTAAAGAGATCTGAGGTTGTCTGGAGGATATCCTGTCAAGAAATGCGTTCCTTGCGAGCAACGTTCCAGTGTGCAGGCGAGAAGCGGGTGGATGCGCAGGGCGATGGAGGCTAGTCAAAGGGAGCGATTACTCTCAGAACGAGAGAAACAATCGAGTCGTTTGTTGTAGTCGGACCATTCTTATCACCCACGCGATATGGGAGGAGAAAGAAGCGACGGGCTTCTGAACACGCGCTCGATCTTTCCCCCCTCCCACCCATCTGAAGCAAGGGCAGCTCTGCTCCGCCGCAACCCTCTTGGCCGCGCCGCACCTCCCTCCGCAAGTCAACATTGCTCCACCTCGACATCTCCCCTTGCTCCGCTCCACTCTCCCCTCCACTCCCTCACTCTCTGATTGTTTCCTCCCAAACCCCCCCTCTTCCTGCCTCTTTCCCCCCAAACTCGAATTTTCAACCCAGCGGAGGGGCCAGGCCAGCCGCTGCGACTTCCAATCACAGCGCGTCGCATCTCCGTCTCAAGTTGTTATTCGTTTCTTGAAGCGGACAGAAGAAAAACGAATCCAGGGTATCATGGGCAGAAGAAAATCGAAACCTGGTTAGGGGATGACTAGTTGCCTGTTTTCTGAAGCCAGACCAAATGGAGCTGGGCGAATGTCCGTGTCATTTCAAGATTATTGCTGTCGGTGGCGTCTCAATGAAAGCCAGCAGTTTTGCGCCGGGCAGACCGACAGCTGACGTGGAAGGCCAAGAAGAATCTGCTGCGGAGTGGACCCCCCCACTGCCAGAGCGAGGTGAGCCCATCACAACAGCAGAAGCAGCAAGAGCCAGCGCTTACCAGGTCAACGCCTGGAGTTTCAACTCTTTTCCATTGCAACGAACTTCCCATCCCAGGTTGCGAAGAAACTCGACGACGCGTGCCAAGGTCAACGGTTGTCAAGCGCTGGTCAGCTTGAGGGCTGTTGAGAAGGATGCTCAAGGTGATGAGAAGCATTTACACACGATGCCCGTTTGACTAACTCAAGGTTGCTTGTGAAACAGGCTTTTAAAGCCCAAGACCTGAATTACTCAACGGAAGTCAACGCTAAAAACTAGGTTCGGGAGGCAGGCACGGAGAGGTTCGGTTGGGTTGCGAGAGACTTTCACTCGCGAAACCAATTTGCGACAAAAGTTTCTCGCTTCCCATGATGGGTGGGGTCCTTCCCACAACCAAAAAAGCACGTGCATACCAAACTATGCACAGTTTGAGATAGCACGCAGAGTAATAGGCATAGACCATACCTGTAGACAGGGCACGGCGTCGGCGTTCACTCAAAAGGGATCAGATGCGCCTTGCGATGTGGGTGGCGCGGATTTTGATGATGACGCGCAAAGCCAGTGCTCGCTGGGTGAAGATTTTTGTGTCGAAATGCATTTTATTGTGCAACTACTGCGTAGCGTAAACTCGCGGCGAAAATCGAATCGCACCCGTTCGCCCAAGCGTGACCCTCCCCTCGCCCTCGCTTTCATTTCCCTAGGTCCCACGCTTCCGCTCTCTGTCGCCAGCGTCGTCGCCATCGCTTCCGCAGCTCGTCGCGTTCGCGACCCCTGCCCGTCGCCTTCGCTCTGCCCGTCGCCTTCACTTCCCCCCCGTCACCTTCACTCCCCTCCCCCTTCCCCCCCCTTCCGTCGCCTTCACTTCCCCCTCTCGTCGCCTTTACTTCCCCCTCCTGTCGCCTTCACTTCCCCCTCCCCTCGCCTTCACTTCCCCCTCCCGTCGCCTTCATTTCCCCCTCCCCGTCGCCTTCACTTCCCCTCCCGTCTCCTTCATTTCCCCCTCCCGTCGCCTTCACTTCCCCTTCCCGTCGCCTTCACTTCCCCCTCCCGTCGCCTTCACTTCCCCTTCCCGTCGCCTTCACTTCCCCTCTCGTCGCCTTCACTTCCCCCTCCCGTCGCCTTCACTTCCCCCTCCCGTCGCCTTCACTTCCCCCTCCTCTCGCCTTCACTTCCCCCTCCCGTCGCCTTCACTTCCCCCTCCCGTCGCCTTCATTTCCCCCTCCCCGTCGCCTTCACTTCCCCTCCCGTCTCCTTCATTTCCCCCTCCCGTCGCCTTCACTTCCCCTTCCCGTCGCCTTCACTTCCCCCTCCCGTCGCCTTCACTTCCCCTTCCCGACGCCTTCACTTCCCCCTCTCGTCGCCTTCACTTCCCCCTCCCGTCGCCTTCACTTCCCCCTCCCGTCGCCTTCACTTCCCCCTCCCGTCGCCTTCATTTCCCCCTCCCCGTCGCCTTCACTTCCCCTCCCGTCTCCTTCATTTCCCCCTCCCGTCGCCTTCACTTCCCCCTCCCGTCTCCTTCATTTCCCCCTCCCCGTCGCCTTCACTTCCCCTCCCGTCTCCTTCATTTCCCCCTCCCGTCGCCTTCACTTCCCCTTCCCGTCGCCTTCATTTCCCCCTCTCGTCGCCTTCACTTCCCCCTCTCGTCTCCTTCACTTCCCCCTCCCGTCGCCTTCACTTCCCCTTCCCGTCGCCTTCACTTCCCCCTCCCGTCGCCTTCACTTCCCCTTCCCGTCGCCTTCACTTCCCCCTCTCGTCGCCTTCACTTCCCCCTCCCGTCGCCTTCACTTCCCCTTCCCGTCGCCTTCACTTCCCCCTCCCGTCGCCTTCACTTCCCCTTCCCGTTGCCTTCACTTCCCCCTCTCGTCGCCTTCACTTCCCCCTCCCGTCGCCTTCGCTTCCCCCTCTCGTCGCCTTCATTTCCCCCTCCCCGTCGCCTTCATTTCCCCCTCCCCGTCGCCTTCACTTCCCCCTCCCGTCGCCTTCACCTCCCCCCCTTCACGCTCTCTTACCCCCTCTGCTCGCCCCTGTTTTCCCGGCTCACTCCTATACTCACTCTCTCCCTCCCTGCTCACTCTCTTCCCCCCTGCTCACTCTCTTCCCCCCTGCTCACTCTCTTCCCCCCTGCTCACTTTCTTTCCCCCTGTTCTCATCCCTCTTTCCCCCTTTCTCACCCATTTCCCCCCTGCTCGGTCTATTTCCCCCTGTGCTCGCCCCTAAAATCCCCTGCTCACTCCCTTACCCCTTGTTCACTCTCTCCCCCTCTGGTCACTCTCTTTCCCCCTGTACTCACCCATCTTTCCACCCTGTTTACTCTCTATTCCCCTTTGTTCAACCCTTTTTCCCCCCCAAGTCCTCTCATTTCCCCTCCTTAGCCCCATGCTTACTGGCTATCCCCTTTGCTCACCGCCTTCTCCACCCTGCTCTGCTCACTCTGTTCCCCACTTCACTCACTCCTCTGCCTAACTCCTCCCATACATGCCCTCCACCTTCACCCCTCGCTTATTCTGCCATATTCCCTCTTCCCTCCCCATTCCATACAGAACCATGCGTGTACAGGTGCCAGCACCATGGGTCCCAACAGGAGTGGGTTAAAAAGTTACCACCTCCTAGCTTTGTGCTTATAGTCTTGTCTTGGCAACATAAATGGAACATTATTTTGCTTTGTTGCACTTTTTTCATAATGCTCCAAATCACGATGTGGTGTATTATGAGACGCATCCAACCAACTTCAATAACGGTACATGGCATCAGGCCCCAAAATGGGTTTAGGCTCACCCTTACGATTCAGAGCTCCAGGTGTGGCCAACTCTGACTCCTAGGGTGAAATTTTCCAAAGTCTGATGGGTGCAGGGTAAAAAAAAAACACTCTGATCTAGTCAGGGGAAACAGGGACCCAACACTGATTGCTAGTGCAAAAAACCTTACAGTGATTTGGGGTTGTGTTGCATACATAATGTCCATACATCTCATCATTGTCCCACAAACCTAACTACACCTACTTTGACATAGGCACACTACCCTCTACATCATGTTCTGCAAACAAGGTCTTGCTCTCGTTGTTGCCGGTGAAGTCTTTTGTGGACCTGCGCAATTTCTCCCCCCTGAAGATAGCCACCACCTCAAACCAGTCCACCTCATACTGCACAAGGGAACAGCGCATGAGGTGCTCCAGGCTGGTGTCCGAGAGGCACCCTCTGTCCCACGTCTTGATCAGGTTCTGCTTGCTGAACCCGCGTTCACATTCCACCGTGCTCAATGGCAGAACGGCGACGGCTTGCCACATCTTCATGATGTTGGGGAATGACTGTTGCCAGCCGTCGTCGCGCGTCATGTTCGAAAGCGCCTGGTGGAAATCCTCCCCGTTGTGCTGGCTGAACAATGTGGATATGAACATCCACAGCTCATTGCTCGCCTTGTTGAAGTCGAAGCCTGTTGTACGGGGTGGGGTTTCAACAGGGCTATAGTCGCAGGCAGCGGGTGGAAGGGGGCTCATTAGTTCAACCGAAGTAGACGAAGACAAGTTGCTGATGGTGCAACAGGCGGAAACAACACGCATGATCAAATCGGACTGCAAGTCAACACATCACCGCTCACCTGGCAGCTTTCCGTGGTAGAGTTTGTGCAGTAAGCCGAGCCAGCGCTTGAACGCCTCTACGCGCTTGGCGTCGTCCGTGATGTAAGAGACGGTGCGGAACAGCTTCGTCCCCTCCAGGTTGGCGAGATCACGCATCCGCCACTCCAGTTCCTTGTCGATCGCGCGGACAAACTTCACGGAGAGCTCGTAGCAGGTTGTCACATCGCCATCTGTTTCCAGCCCTTTCAATGGCCGCTCGTGTAGAAGGAATTTGAACGAAACAGGATCTCCGTTGGAGTCAACGCCTTCAACCTTCATCTCGCGCTTGTCCTGCTTCTGGTGCTTCAAGTAGAAATCGGGGAGAGTCATGTACTCTCCGCTTCCAAAGGTGTGACCAGGGGCCGAGCTCAGGTACCGCGCCTTCAGCCGCATCCGCGTCTGCTCCACGATGTGCGCTACAAGCGTGACGTCGATCTGCAGCAACAACAAGGAAGCGCGGTGGGGTGTAAGGGCCACTGCACAGGTTCATTTCTCTTGTTTCAGCAATGAGGCTGCAAGCGTGACGTTGAGCTGCAAGTACTGACCTGTCTCTGCTAGAAACGTTGATTCAAGTGGTTCAACTCCCACAGGATGTCAGCGAGGAAGCGTAGCAGCCAATGAAACTTGAACGAGGTTACAACCTCGTACAAGTCCGGCTTGTAGTCTTTGAGCACGACGATGACGGCTGGCAACACCTCGAGGAGCCGGGCAACGGCCTCGCCACGCGATAGCCACCGGACGGTGTGTATCCCCTGCGCCCCGAGATTCGTCTTGCAGAATACTTGTTGCAGATTCTGAAACTTCTGGTACTGCACGCCGCTCCTCCCTAGTAGCTCGGAAAATGCACGGACGACATCGTCGACCATGTTCAGCTCGGGGACAGCTTCAGCGGCATCTTTTGCAGCGAGTGCCTCCCTGCATGCACCACACAAGATTCATGAGTTTAAGTCCAACTAACAGGAAGCAACCAAGCATACACAAAAGCCTTACCGATGCGCGATGCAGTGTGTAGACGCGAGGTGAGGTATACGCATTCTGAGCCGTGCCACCACTCCATTGTTCTTCCCCACCATTACGCTCGCTCCGTCGGTCGCAATGCCGGTTATTTTCTGCAGGTCGACACCAATACCAGTCAGGTACTGCACAACGGCGGAGGTCAGAGAGGCAGCGTCAGCGCGATCCACGGTAATCAAGGCCAGGAACTCGTTGACGACTTCCCTGTTCTTGAGGTAGGTGACGTAGATGATGAGATGTTTCCCGTGGATGCGGTCAGTGCTCTCGTCGAGCGACAGGGACATCCATGGCGATTCCAGAAGGTGAAGCCGCCGCGTCTCCTGCAGGTACATGGATGTTGCACGAAGACATTCCTTGAACCCGTAACTGCAACAGAAACCACGAACACTAAATATTAGATACAGTTTATAACAAACCCTCGTGAACCAATACAAACCACGCGCAACTAACTTACTCAGTGTAGTAGGCACCGTAGCCGCCATTGGGGGGAAGGTCAGGAAGACCCTCCTTAGCGAGAAACCAGCACAGGGGGACGAACATCGCGATGGGAGCGTCGGCCTTGCAGACGAACATCGCGATGTGCAGGCAGTGGATGATGTGGCGAGTAGACGAATCCGTCTCCTGCCACCTTGTCAAAGTCACTTGCTTCTCCTTTGCCGCAAGTGAACGAGCCTTTGCTTCCAGCGCCTGTTTATGTGCTCGAGTAGATGAGTGAACCCGAATGGTTCCGATTTGCAAGTCACGGCCACCCTCACCCTTCGCGCCGTAGACGGTGCGAGCGGTAGGATCGCCGTACTTAATGCACACTTTACATTTCAGCAAAGGTCTCCCGTTGGTCTGATGATGGAGTCGTAGCCAGTCGAACTTCCCTGCCCACTCAGTGTCATACCTGTGCTTGTACGCTGCGTACTCAGCTTCAGCAGTGACTGTTGGTGGTTTGGGATCAGCAGAAGCTTCGGTGCGCGTTGGTGATGCATCTTTCTTTGGTGGCGGTGCGCCCCAGAGCCTCTGCTGTGTGTATTTCACCCCGATCCGCGGCCTTTTGCCAGGCGTGCTGTTCACAGTCGACGGGGACGCAGTAGAAGGCCTGGAGCTGCCTTCATCGCCGCCAGGAACAAGAACCAGCGATGGGTGTGGCTCATCAGCAGTAGGAGAATTGGGCCGATCGACTGCGAACACATAGCCGACGCTTCGTACGGGCGAGGCGTCACGTGGCGGCTGTGCGATGGGAACGGCGTAGCTGTCACCTAGCTTGGGAAGAACGCCAAGAACTGAGAGCCCGTTTCTTGGGCCCCAAGGCGGTTCCTGCTCTTGCTTGGCTGGCATGACTGGATGGTGCTACTCCGTGAGACCTCGGGAAAGTGCAAGAGAGAGGTGAGGAAGATGGGTTCCCTTTGGGAAGGATGGACCCCCTCAGCACCGCGCATGGCTGTTCACGAAGCGAGGAAAAGCATAGCAGGTACAGGATGATACGTGATGGCGCTGTAGCGCTGGGCAAGACGAGTGCGTGCATCGCGGCAGTTTTGCCGTGCTGGCGCAGTTGGCAGGGACTATGAGGTGTATTGGCAGCAATCACGGGTGCGCTGGCACGAATCTTGCCAAACACACCATTGGGGTTTGGCAGTTTCTCACCACTGGGCAAGTGCAACAAGATATGGGAGTGGCACCGTGTCACAAGTGCAATGTATGTGTAGTGTAGTAGAATCCTCGTTCCGGAAACTCGGTATAAGGGTAAGTGGGACTGTACACTGATAACATCAGGGGAAGGTAACGCGAACTTTGAATCTATAAGGGTAAAAAAAACAATCACTTTTTGGGTCAGTGTTTAAAGCCTGGGAGCCTGACTGAGTCAGGGTACTTAAAAAAAAAGCGGCCGCCAGTTAGGGCAATTAGGGTAAAATACCCTGACATTTTGGGGCCTGCATGGCATAGCTATTGTAGACAACTAATATGATCAAACCCTATACTCATCACAACTGGATGCATGGCAGACCTGCACAGACACGAACCACAAACTCTGATGGAGGGTGGGGAACAAAGAATGCACGGAGGCAGAAAATGAGCAAGGGAGACACGGAGGAAGGGCGGAAGGGTGAGTGAGATGAAGCGTGGGTAGGGGAGAGAGAGCGCGGAAAGGCACTAAGGCAGAAGCGTGGGCGACGGTGAGAGGATGGGCGGATGAGATGATGGGCGGATGAGAGGATGGGCGGATGAGATGATGGGCGGATGAGATGATGGGCGGATGAGATGATGGGCGGATGAGAGGATGGGCGGATGAGATGATGGGCGGATGAGAGGAAAAAGTGCGGCTGGGTACAAGGGGGAAGGTAGAAGGGTGGAACGGAGGAGCAGGGTTGGCGTGAGGAAGGGAGTGGGAGAGTGGGAGATGGAAAGGGGAAGGGGGACTGGATCGAGGGAGGATGAGGAGAGGAAGAATGGCAGGAAAGAAGGATGGGAGGAAGGGAGGACGGGCAACAGAGAGGGTAAAGAGGGTAGGGAGGCAGAGAGATGGAGGAAGGGAGGACGGGCAACAGAGAGGGTAAAGAGGGTAGTGAGGCAGAGAGATGGAGGAAGGGAGGAAGGGAGAGGGAGAGGAGGACGATTGTGGGGGAACGACGGAACGGAGTAAGGGAGGAGGGCAGGAGGTAAAAGTGTGGTAGGGTATAAGGGTGGAACGGAGGATAGGAGGATCCCTGCACCCTCTCTCCCTAACCCCCGCCTCCCCTGCCCCGCCTCCCCCGCTCCCCTGACCCGCCCCCTGCAGCACTGCACTCCTTGCTGCCCGCCTGCACGCGCTGCCCTGGCTGTGCGCCAAACACTCTGCTCCAAAGCCGCACCACCACCTGCCATGCGTGTGGGGTTGGTGCGAGAGAGGAGAGGAGGTCAGTGCAAGAGAGAGAAGGGTGGGTGCTGCTGACCACGCACCCTTCCACACCCCACAGCGAATGAGTCACGACCCCTTCCCCAGCTCCCAGCCCATCTCGCCATACCTCCCCGCCCAGGGTGGGTGAGAGGCTGATGGGGAGGGAGAATGAGAGAGAAGGAAATAAGGGTGCAAGGGTGGGGTGGTAACCATGGGCGATGGTAGGAGTAGAGTAGGTGGTAATGGGGAGAGCGTAAGCGACCTAACGAGGCAATTTAGAAGGGATACAACGACGACCCTAAATGCGATGGGAAGGGATGAGAGGGTGGGCGGCATGGGTGGAGACGCGATGGTGAATAGGGGGAACGTGATGGGCAGGGAAGTGATGACGACGTGGAGAGAGGTGGGAGAGAAGGGAGGTCGGCGGGAAGTCTAACCGAGGGCGATGGGAGGGCAAGCGTGGGCGACAGTGGGGGTGGGCGACGGTGGCGGTGGGCGACGGTGGGGGGAAGCGTGGGCGACGGTGGGGGGAAGCGTGGGCGACGGTGGGGGATGCGATGTTTGGGGATGGGCTAGGATTAAATGTGAAAATGCTCATGGCCTATGCTTTAGTGGCTTTTTATTCTATCTCTTCGCATGATCTAATCGGTTGGCCATCAGTGCAAATGTAACCAGTGCATGCGAATTTGCCCAGACACCAAATAGAAACGCTGCACCCGAGGTCTTTTCCCCAGCCTGTTGCACCCACGATACAAGCGCGTCGCGTGGTTATGGACCAATAGTAACGAACAGACCGAAGTCAAACTGAAGAGACTGAAGCCAAAATGTCAACGAATATGGTTACCAGGGCCTCAGATAGGATTCAGGGGACCCTGACCCATCAGGGCAGTTCCCCCCTAATTTTTTTTTCGCCCTGATTGATCAGTGCTGAGGTGCATTCAGGATCCTGTTTTGACAGGGTAAATACCAATGTAATCTTGCCTTGTCAGGGTAAAAACTAGTGTAATCCTGATTTGTTAGGGGGGTAAAAAACTGTCAAACATTATATGTTTATGTGGTTCTAGGCTGTAGTGGGTTACACCTTAGGGGGTACACCAGATTAGGGTTTCATATTTGTACTCTTGTTCCTGTTAGTCACATCATTCTAGGTTCTCATTCTGACATGGTATTACGAGCCTAGGTTTCACCTAGGACCGAAACGTTAGGGCCCACCGTTTCCGCTAGCCGCGCCCTAGTGCGCCGCCTTTTCCTAGCGCCCTCGTGCGCCTCGTTCCTCGCGTCGCCCTTTAAGGCCCCTCACGGCCCCTCGCGTCGCCCCTTAAGGCCTCTCACGGCCCCCCCTTACGACCCCGCGCTAGCCCCGAACGGCCCCGTGCGGCCCCCGCGCTAGCCTCCCCCGGCCCCTTACGGCCCCGCGCTAGCCTCCTACGGCCCCGAACGGCCCCGCGCTAGCCCCGAACGGCCCCTTGAAGGCCCCGCGCTAGCCTCTCACGGCCCCCGAACGGCCCCCGAACGGCCCCCGCGCTCGCCTCGTACGGCCCCCCCCGCGCTCGCCTCGAACGGCCCCCCGCGCTCGCCCCTCTACGACCGAGCCGCGCAGCGCGACCCCAGCTGAACCACGCGACCCGAGCCGAACCGCGCGACCCGACCGAGCCGCGCCGCCCTAGCCGAGCCGCGCCGCCCTAGCCGAGCCGCGCCGTCCTAGCCGAGCTGCGCCCTCCTTACCTGAGCAGCAGGGCCAGTACTGGACTGAACTGCTCCTACTGCTACTGCTAGTGCTACTGCTACTGCTACTGCTGCTGCTACTTCAGCTATGGCTAGCCCTACAGTTCTCTCGTTCGATGCTGAGGGCCGCCCGATTAAGTTTGAGATCTGGCTCGATGATCTGCGCCTGTTCCTCCAGCTCACTGCCAGGGAGGATGTCTCGCTGTACGATCATGCACTAGGCAAAGCTGCTGCCCCTGCTACTGATGCTGACGCCACTACCCGCTCCCAGTGGCAGACTCGTGACGCCCACGCTCGCTTCGCTATTCGCAACTCCCTGCCTGTGGATGAGCGCGAGCACTTCGGCCAGCACAGGACTGCCCAGGCACTGTACACTGCTGTAGTTGCGCGCTACTCCTCCCCAGCCTCTGCTGCGCTAGGCCGTCTCTCGCTTCCCTACCTGTTCCCTGACCTGTCCGCCTTCCAGACAGTCGCTGACCTCATCACGCACCTCCGCACTAGTGAGGCCCGCTTCTGTGCCGCTATGCCTGCTGAGTTTCTTGCCTCCAACCCTCCCCCGCTCTGGCTCACTCTCTACCACCTAGTTACCCGCCTCCCTGACACTCTGCGTACAGTTAGGGACAGCTTCCTAGCCCGCTGCCCCACTGAGCTCACCATTGCCACCCTCGAGAAGGAACTCTTTGCAGCTGAGAAGAGTATTGTAGTTGTAGGTGCCTCTCGTGGTGACCCCCGCACCCCTTTCTTCGAGGGGTGTTCCCCCTCCCCCCTGCTCCCCTCTGTCGCCTCTGCTGCTGCTGTCGACCTCCTTGGTGCTGAGCAGGTCGGGTCTGCGTCCGCTCCCAGCGGGCGCCGCAGCGGCAGGGGCAGGGGAGGCAAGGGCGGTGGGGGTGATGGCGGGGGAGGCGGTGGTGGGGGTGGTGGCGGCGGTGGGGGCGGTGGCGGGGCTGGAGGGGCTAGTGGCAGCGGTGGGGGTGGTGGAGGCAGCGGCGGCGACGGTGGCCGGGGTGGGGGCGGTGGTGGTGGCGGCGGAGGACGTGGCGGCGGCAGGGGCGGTGGTGGTCGTGGTGGCGGCGGCGGTGGTGGTCGTGGAGGCTCTGGCACTGGCCAGAGCACGCAGCACCCTCAGTCCTCCCAGGAGCTTCGTGAGTGGTACTTATAGCACGGGGGTGGGGGGGGTAGCCTTAGCTGCACGTACGTCATCCGCACTGGTCGCCGCAAGGGACAGACGTGCGGGAGGGCGCACACTGCGCAGCGCTGCTTCTCTCGCCTAGATGACGCTTGGCGTGCTCAGTTTCCTGACGCTCCTGAGCTCCCTCAGTGGGCTGATCTCCTCAAGAAGGATATCGATATCTATGCTCTTGATTTTGATGTTATTCTCAAAGCCATGTATGCATTGACTATTAGTGGAGAGGAGGACCAGTACCTGTGTGTTCCGCCTGACCCAGGCATCCGCACGAGTGAGGCTGCCGCCCTAGGTGCTTGCGTGTCTGCTGCCCCAGGTACTGGTGAGGCTACTGCTCTAGGTGCTTGTGTGTCCGCCACCCCAGGTACTACTGAGTCCACTGAGGCACTGCACACCTTCACTCTAGACTCAGGCGCTTCGCGCTGTTTCTTTCGTGACCGCACTGCTCTTGAGCCCCTTGCTCGACCAGTCGCTGTCTCGCTCGCTGACCCCTCTGGGGGTCCGGTCATTGCGACCTCCTCCACTGTCCTTCCTTGTCCTGCTGTCCCGTCGGGCACACTGTCAGGTCTCCACCTCCCCTCGTTCTCTACGAACTAGGTGGCGGGTTGTGCGCTTCAGGATGGGGGTGTTCACCAGTTCACCCCTGCCTACGAGCGCGTGACACACTGCACGTGTGCTCGGACGGGCCGTCACCTGGCTACCTTCACTCGGCAGCCGGGGTCGGACCTGTACACACTGACCACTGAGTCCCCTCAGGTAGCGGCGTGGCGTCTGCGTCAGGTCAGCTGTCAGCCCCCTGCTCGTGTCGCTCTCTGGCGCACAAGACAGTCCTCTGGCACCATCGACTTGGTCACCCGTCAGTGCAGCGCCTTCGGGGCATGCACGCCCGGTACCTTGTCTCTGGTCTTCCTCGGGTACTCCCTCCCCTCCCACCCTCCCTTGCTCCTCCTTGTCTTCCCTGTGTCGAGGGGCGGCAGCGCGCTGCCCCTCACTCCTCCTCGTTCCCCCCGACGACTGCTCCTTTGCAGACGCTCCACATGGACGTGTGGGGCCCAGCCCACGTCCGTGGTCAGGGCCAGGAGAGGTACTTCTTGATCGTCGTTGACGACTACTCGCGCTACACCACGCTCTTCCCCTTGCGCACCAAGGGTGAAGTCCCTGATGTTCTGATCCCTTGGATCAGCAGAGCACGTCTTCAGCTGCGAGAGCGTTTTCGCTCGGAGTTTCCTGTCCTGCGCTTGCACTCTGACAGAGGTGGTGAGTTCTCCTCCGACCTCTTGGCAGCCTACTGTGCCGAGCACGGCATTCGCCAGTCGTTCACGCTTCCGGCCTCTCCACAGCAGAATGGGGTTGCTGAGCGCCGCATTGGCTTGGTCATGGAGGTCGCTCGTACCTCCTTAGTCCACGCGGCTGCCCCCCACTTTCTGTGGCCGTTTGCGGTCCGGTACGCTGCGCATCAGCTCAACCTCTGGCCCCGTGTCTCCGCTCCGGAGACCTCGCCCACACTGCTGTGGACGGGGGAGGTTGGCGATGCGTCACGCTTCCGTGTCTGGGGATCCCGAGCTTTTGTTCGCGACACGTCTGCGGACAAGCTCTCCTCCCGCACTGCTCCGTGTGTCTTTCTTGGCTTTGTCCCGGATGCGTCTGGCTGGCAGTTTTACCACCCCGCCTCGCACCGCGTCTTCCCCTCTCAGGACGTCACTTTTGACGAGTCCGTGCCCTTCTACCGCCTCTTCCCCTACCGCACTGCCCCGCTCCCTCCCCCGCCTCTCTTCCTCGCGCCAGGTGCTGCAGTGGTAGACCCCCTCCCCCCTCAGGGTGCCGCTCCTTCAGGTGTCTCCCAGGTAGACCCGGTTGAGCCGGCCGAGGTAGCTGTCGACTCGCGTCCGGCTAGGGGTTCCGAGCCTGAGCGTGCGGAGCCTGAGCGTGCGGAGCCTGGGGGTGCTGAGTCTGGGGGTACTGAGCGTGGGGGTGCTGAGTCTGGGGGTGCTGAGCCTGGGGTTGCCGAGTCTGGGGGTGCTGAGCCTGGGGTTACTGAGTCTGGGGGTGCTGAGCCTGGAGTTGCTGAGTCTGGGGGTACTGCAGCTGACTGTGAGACGCCTGGAGGAGCTCCCTCTTCGCAGCAGCTGCGTGAGTGGTACTCGCGGTACTGCAGCCTTCGGCGGGGTGCGTCTCGGGCTCGCGGTGCTGCTGGAGTTGGTGCTCGTGTTTCCCCGC